CACTTGCACTCTGTCTCTCTCTCAAAAATAAATAAAGATTCGAAAAAAATTTAAAAAGCTCCTTTATAAAAAGTAAAAAATTTAATTATTATGTGACATATCTCCCATAATCCACACCCACAAACAACACAGTTTTGGCTTTGAACTCTTACGCTCCTTCTGTTTCTCCACAACCAGAAGTTGGCTATAAATAACATATTTCATTACAGTTTTAGCCTTGATGAAACATGTGCCATTTGGACAAGTCGGAAGTCATGAAAAAAGTATGGTTCTAGGTCACTTTATGATACTTGAAGGATTTCAGAGGTAAATGCTTATACCATAACAGACTCAGCTGGTGCTACCTGAAAATGCTAATTCTGTCTCACATTCCTGGGTTTATAATGAAGAAGGATGAACTTACCCATATCTATTGCTCTCTAGCTGTGCTTTTTTAATTCTTTTAATGTTTATTTTTGAGAGAGAGACAAAGAGAGAGAGAGTGACAGAGAGACAGAGGGGGAGCAAGGGAGGGACAGAGAGAGAGGGAGACACAATCCGAAACAGGCTCCAGGCTCTGAGCTGTCAGCACAGAGCCCGATGCGGGGCTCAAACTCACGAGCCATGAGATCATGACCTGAGCCAAAGTCAGATGCTTAACCGACGGAGCCACCCAGGTACCCCCATCCCCAGCTGTGCTTTTAATCCAGTATTGACTACCATCCAGCAAATAGTTAAATAATATTATGGTGAATCTCAAGGAAAAGTAAAATGCCTAAATATAAAGAACTAGTCAACCATGGGACCAAATAATGCATTTGAACTTTACAAACCATGGTATTTGTGTTAATGAGACTTGTTCATACCCTAGCACAACTACATTTCTGTCAAGGTTAGCTGGTGACAGAATTAAACCTGTGTTAAAAATAAACACAGGGCTTATTCATCAGGAATTCTTTCCTTCATGAAACAAGTATTACTAAGTGCCTACTATGCATAGCCATTACTCTATACGTTGGGTATATCTGGGAACAAAACAGATAAAAATTCCCAGGCTTCATGGACCTTATATTCTAGGGGGAAGGAACAGACAACACTTCTAACAATGGACCCAATAACTTATATTGTATGACAGGTCTCTAAGAACCTTTCATTGTGAAATTAAGTTTAAAGTTTCTAATACTGATGGCCTAGTCCTTTACGGACTTTATGGACACAATGCCTGTCATTCAACACTAGATCTCCACAGTGAGATTCAAGAGTACCTCTTGTAACTAACAGAAATAAGTCTGGGAGTATGAACCACATCTCTCTACTACTGTATTTCACACTTTCTCTTGAACTGGTGTCCCATGAGGCCTGTCCTGTCACTCAGAGCCTTCAGTGTCCTATTCTTGCATTCAAGTGGAATACATCTCCGTGTCTGAAGGCCATGCACACAGTATGTTGGCCAAGGACTGCACTAAGTGCTGGAGATACAAAGTTGCTTAAGACACTATCTTTACCCTTAATGAGTTCATTTTAGAGGAAGAGGAGGAAGAGGTAAAAGGATGATCCAGGCTTATGAGCATGTAACTGAAGTATACAAAGCATGCTAGGTGCCCCCAGAGGTGAGGATGATTACTTCTGCCTGGAAAAGCCTGCTGTGGGTGGATGGATAAAGGTGTGAAGGCAGAAAGGCCCAGAGACTCATATGGGCCAGGAAGCACATGAGCTTGGGAGAGCAGTCAGAGAGGGAGCGATCCTAAGAAGCCAAATCCTAGAACAGTGGAGACTATGTCTGCACAAGACACAATCACTGGGAGCTACCCAGCCCTCCCCACCATGAGAAGAAATGGAGAGCACAAGTAGAGGTGGCTCATGAGCACACGAGCTAGAGCACCGGGCACACTGCGAACAGACACTGGACCTCAAGGCACTGGTGAACTAAAGGGAAAGCATCTATTGCTGGTGAGGATGTGGAAAAACAGGAACCCTCTTGCACTGTTGGTGGGAATGAAAACTGGGGCAGCCTCTCTGGAAAACAGTGTGGAGGTTCCTCAAAAAGTTAAAAATAGAACTACCCTATGACCCAGCAATTGCACTGCTAGGAATTTACCCAAGGGATACAGGAGCGCTGATGCATAGGGGCACTTGTACCCCAATGTTTATAGCAGCGCTTTCAACAGTGGCCGAATTATGGAAAGAGCCCAAATGTCCATCAACTGATGAAAAGGTAAAGAAGATGTGGTTTACATATACAATGGAATACTACATGGCAATGAGAAAGAATGACATATGGTCTTTTGTAGCAACGTGGATGGAACTGGAGACTGTTATGCTAAGTGAAATAAGTCAGTCAGAGGAGGACAGATATATGTTTTCACTTATATGTGGATCTTGAGAAACTTAAGAGAAGATCATGGGGGAGAGGAAGGGGAAAAAATAGTTAGAGGGAGGGAGGCAAAACATAAAAGCCTCTTAGATACAGAGAACAAACTGAGGGTGGATGGAGGGCTGGGGGAGAAGGGAAAATGGGTGATGGGCATTGAGGACGGCACTTGTTGGGATGAGCACTGGGTGTTATATGTAAGTGACTGAACCACGGGAACCTACCCCAGAAACCAAGAGCACACTTTACACACTGTATGTTAGCCAATTTGACAATAAATTACATTAAAAAATAATAATAATAAAGGAAAAGCATCTGAAAAAAAAGCAAGGAGATGAAGCATCTGGAAAAAGCAAGGAGACTGAAAATGCTAATAATAGAACCTAGGCCTAAATCGCACCTGCATTCTCCCGGCAGACCTCTCCACTCTCCACTGAACATGCTGCCAACTGGTCACCCAAGGTGAACAGCAGACCCTTCCATTCAAATGCCAGTCTCAATTCAGCAATGTTCCCAAACGAAGCCACAGGGGGAAGTGGCCCTGTGCATGCTTTTTGCATATGTACAACCTGGGCAAGGGAAATGAGCTTTCCGCCCGCCATGCTGAATACCCGTGAAACGCGTGTCCCAGACTTCATCTGGACTCTATTTTTAACCACAATCACTATCCTCTGGCCCTAGAACATCAATAGTAAGGAGACATTGTGCCGCAGAACCGTCCTATGCTTTACATATAGCATACTACAGCATGATCATACTTCTCCCGTTTGTTCTGGGAACTCCTCTAGGGCAGGGACCAGCTAATAGTAGGCACTCAAGTAAGGGCTGACGAACAAATGAATGAATTAACCCACCAAATTCTTCCCACAGTTCCAAGCTGGGATAACAGAGAGAAAACAGTCCAATTGCTGCTTTTTTTTTTTTCATTCTAAATGATGGCAGCATGAAGGCTAATCAACCAGCTTCTTGTAAGCATGCCATCCATGACCCTACGCACAGACACACAAAGTCAAATACACACTGTTGATGTTTTTACATCAACAGTTTTCCACTCTCAGAAATTTCTTGAGTGAACGAGATAGTGCCAGTTCAGAGTCCCACCACGCCCCCCAAACATGCACATCCCAGCTTTGAAAGGAAGAAACATTGTAAACCAAAACATTATGCAAAAACAAAAAACAACAAAAAAGCCTTTCTGCAAAACTTTAAGAACTTGTCTTAAACCCCCATCTCCTCTAAATGACTATATAAATATCAGCACCCTAGCCAAGTCTAAAATGCAACGTTAGGCAAAATGGAAGAGAAAACTTTGTTTAAAAAGAAAAAAATAATCCAACATTGCTGAATCAAAATGTAAATCATCATTTACATCAGACGCTAATGCTCCAAGTGGGTAACCCTTGGGCCTGGGCTCCTGAGCCAGCTTGAGAGCAGTTATACACATTTAATCTCACAGAGCATCCGCATTGTACCTCCTCTTCCCGTGGTCTTTCCAGCGGTTGCCCTCTAGGGCCGAATTACAGACCTTATGCTTGGTGAAGAAGAGAGCTGACTTTGCTGATTAACAACAACAATAACAACATTTGTGCGGAGAAATGTAAACCAGACTGACAGTTATTGAGCAAAGGTACTTCAAAAGTCAGCCCGTCTTTCTCCTAAGGTAGGAGTGTGTATGTGTTTGGGGGGCTGGGATGGGAGGTCTTTTCTTGGTGAGGAGAGGAAGAAAGTGCAAAAACTAATGTACCAGAGAACCACTCTTTCTGGAATTCATAGAGTCTGGCCTTTTATCCCTGGGCGCAAGCCCAAGACTGGGGACCCGGGTTTTGTCAGGGGCGCCTCCCTGCTGTCCTGCCCGGGGCTGCTCCACACGAGCAGAGAGAGACAGGAGGCAGGCCCCTCTGACACCTACTTAACCAAGGCAGATGGAGAGGAGAGTGTGTGGGATGCCTTTACTTCCCCCTTAGGAGGCGCCCAGCAGGAGCCCACAGAGCCAGCAGCTCCAAAATCGGATTTCCACACATCCTCCCCCTCCTCGCCTCCTCGGAACACACCTTGGCCCTCCGGCAGGAGGAAACAGAGCATTAGGCCAAGTGTGGTTCTGGTGTACAAAGGGGTTTGGAAGACCTAAAGAAGCCTTCTTCCAGGATCCCATACTTTTTTCAAACCTCTAGAGAAGTAGCCCAGTTGGGGAAACAGTTACTCCCTCACTGACCCAGAGAGGGCAAGGGTGTTACTTTGAGGAGGACACAATCAGTGTCTGCAAGACGTCCTGAGCTGCAGACACATACTTTATTAATAATCTTACATACACAAAATGTCCAAGGGAAAGCCTAACAGGCGAATTTCTGACAGCTCCAGATAACAGCGGGACAAACCGAAGCCATGCTGACTCCCCAGCTTCCACAAACTCCACAGAAGCCATGATCCCTTTCCCACCCAAGGGACGTGATGCAAATAAATAAATACAATTATCTGCAGAACTTAGAGTGCAAGAACAACGCTGTGGAGTCCTTCTCCCCGAATGCAGTGACTTGTGGGAAACAGATAGGAAAATAAGGAGAACAGCTGGAAAATTTAATTGCAGAGGAACAACGTGGAGGCTGACATTGTTTCACGGAAGTAGCCAAGAGCCAAAGCCACTCTCCCTTACCTTAAGATACAGAAGCAGCTCTTCGCCCCTGAAGATAAGCGGCAGAACCCGAATCTCTGTTTGCTGTCAATGTCAGTGAGCACGAACGTGAAGTTCTGGCCAACTTGGCTAACTGTGAGGCTGCGGCAAAGACAGAACAAAGGGAAAAACGAATGTGCAGTGAGTTTCTTGATAAAGTATCTAATCACGACAAGTCGTTGAACCTGTAACATTTCCTTTCTCAGTGAAACTCTTTACAAATGAACTCAAAATTTACACACTTGAAGGGAACAGACTGTGAGCTAGTAAAAAACAAACAAACAAAAAAGATCACAAGCAGTCCATTCTAGTGACCACCTCACTACCAAAGTAGCTACCAAACCTTCCATTTACGGAGTTCAGGCAGGTAGCCCTGTTAATCATCTCATCAAATCCTGAAGATACATCCTATTAACCTCATTTTATACATAGTGACTGCCTCATCACCTCATTGGAGCTCCCATGCCTTCCACAGATTGAGTTCAGGCAGGTAGCCCTGTTAATCATTCCACCGAATCCTGAAAGGAGCATTCTATTAACCTCATTTTATAGACAAGGCAACAGCCTAGGGCAGCACTGCCTAAGGTGCCAGCTGGTTAGCTGCAAAAAGCTGGGTTTTAAACCTAGGCCTTTGTGACGCCAAAGCCTACCCTGCCAGCTTGCTGTTAACGATGTTCACCTGACCATTCCTCTGGTTCAGAAAACAAAATGGCAACAGAACTTAAGCGTCTACTGTGTGCCAGTCACCAAGCTGGACACTTGATATATTCCATCTCATTTACTCTCCAAACAACCCTGGAATTTAGATGATGTTCCCATTTTACAGGAACGGCAACTACAGGATGGAATAGGCATGTAAGCGAATCATGCTCACAGAGCTTCCAAGGGGAGGAGGTGGAATTCAAGAGGGCAAGGTTAGTTACTACTGTCCTGAATTCTTGTATCTTTCACAACATTGGGGTTTGGGAGGAACATGTATGTTACAGGACAGAAATACCAAATGTCTTAACAATGCAAGGTGCTAAGAAATGGAAACAGGCTTTAAAGACAAACAGTAAAGAAAAAAAGCCAAAAATTCCTGCATCGACACAAAAATCAGCAAGCCACGCATAAAACATAAAATAGGAAATATGTTTCAAGAGATTAAAAAGCATGTTACTAATCAGATTAATCTAGAAATGTTTCTGGCGTTTGCAAAATGTTTTTAAAACCCCCTTTTTAAAATCAGTTTACCACTTAGCTTGGATTCCTTTTTAAAAACTTAAATATTCCAAATTCTAATACACAAATCTATGCTACCATAATATTTTAGAATTTGACATTGAATTATTAAACTAACTCATTAACTTACATTGTATTTTACATATATTGTATTTTACAAAATATACTCAAATTGATAAATATTCAAATCAATGCTCTCACCTGTAATTTACTTTATAAGTTGCCAGCAGAAATGAAAAATCATTCACCAAGCCCCTTCCAAAGGCAGATAGATTTACTGAGTCTTTGGAATAGGATATGTAGTTAATTTTTCAAATATGGATAGCCTTCATTTCTAACACTTCCTTATACAAACCACACAAGAAAATTAAAATGAAAGAGACTTTCAAGGTAACCCAGTACAACAGGGTCAATGGACCCTACCTGGTCATGTTTAAGGAAACAATTCCATCCCCTAGAGGGTGGTTACAGAGTACAAGAAAATAATTCAGAAAGAAAAGAAAGTGTTCCACTCTCCCTTCTTAACTAGGAAGGTGAGCGAAAACAAGGTGGCAATTTAAAAGCAACGTGTAATAAAACAGGTGTAAGTAATGCTACCCCTCCACCTTACACAAGCCAGGAGAAGGAACACATTTCTATAAAAGTTATAGAGCTGTCCAGGGGACACCAAACTCTACCTTCCTATGGCTGTTATGTTTTATCAATAAAGCTTGGATACTGTGTTACTATGGTGATTTAATACTATGTTTTAAAGGGGGATTATATGATTAATTTTAACAAGGTTGAGAACTGAAGATGTGTGAGAAACAGGATTCTAGCTCACATAATTAAAGTGATTGGGGAGAAAAGTGGGCCTCACTGGGGGGGGGGGGGGGGGGGGGGAGGAGAAAAAAACTTGAATTATTAAAATATTTAAAGCAACAGGTCACAATGATTTCTAAATTACAAATAAGGTCATGCTTTTGTGACATACTATTATGTGATCATATAAAATATGACTGTTCATTATTTTAACTCAGGGTGCGATTTCACTTCTAGAATGTTTAAAATGAGGCATCTGAGAAGGAAAGGGTATTGATAGGACTGAATGAAAAGAAAACACCCGGGATCCTTAGGAAAAGGACACAGAATGAACACAACTTGGTTTGTGAAGTGTCATTAATTTCCCTATTTATCTTTTCACCACCATTAAAAATGCTGAAAATGCTTTTAGCGACATCCTAGGCTCAAAGAAAGATTCATTACTCATTTACTTGGTTCAAATCCCAACTCAATCACTTGCTAACGGGGCCTTCATTTAGCAAGTTACTTAACCTCTAAGCACCTCAGTTTCTTTACCTGGAATAACAATGAGAGACCACTGCTCAACCCAAAGGAGGTTTTGGGAATAAGTGAGGTAAGCATTTACCATACAGGCCAGTCCATAATAAAAACAATTAATAAGAGAGACGCAAGCTGTCAAGTTACCTACCATCGGAAGGAAAACAAAAATTCATATTAAAATCATGCATTTGCTCAGCATCTTCCTGACGGACTCATTTTTGTAATCCTTACGAGTGGAGAAAGGAAGCCTGCCTTTCTCTCTTCTCAGTTGCATCTTTTCAGTAAAGGACAGTCCTTTGGGAGACCAAGGGAGCTGTTCATGCTTACAGTAATGTAAAAGAGTAAAGGGACACAGCTTAGGAAACAACATTTGTTATTCTCAGTTGATTCACCATTTTTATCCTAATAGGGTAGGGGCGCCTGGGTAGTAGTAGCTCATTCAGTTAGGCATCCAGTTTCAGCTCAGGTCATGATCTCGTGGTTTGTGGGTTTGAGCCCTTCATCAGGCTCTGTGCTCATAGCTCAGATTCTGCTTCGGATTCTGTGTCTCCCTCTCTCCGCCCCTCCCCCAATCGTGCGCACTGTCTCTCAAAAATAAGATAAAAAAAAAAAATTTAAACACTAATAAAGTACAAGCCACTTAAACAAACAAGCAAAAGGGGTCCTAAAGCAGCAAACTCTCAAATCTCTTCTCCTTGGACAATCTGCAATAAACTAAAAGTTAGGCAAGGGTGCTCAGAGGTTAAGTTGAAGGGTTCTCAATCTCTGAGGAATCTTGTCATTCCCTCTCCACTTGCTGCTGTACTCTGGGAGAGTTTCACTCTTTCTCCATAAAAATGACTTTGGGGAAAGGGTCTGCTTCGTTAGACGCTGCAGGGTTTGTGTCTACCTCCAGTATCAGAATCCAGAACTTTTTAACAGGGATCAGAGATTTCACAATGATTAAAACGGGGAGGAACTGCAGAAACCATCTGACTCGAGTCTCTTGCTTTATAAGATGGGAAAACTGAGGCACATGGTCTTTTTGTTTTGTTGGTTTTGTTTTCTCAAGGTATCAGGACTAAAACGAAATTCCAAGCCCCATTCTGCTTCAAAGCCCTCTCCATCCTGCCAGCCTCCACTAAACACGATGAAACCCTTCCCTCACCTCCAGCGTTCAACTCCACAGAAGGAACTCAGGTATGTGAGGGATCCAGATAGTTGTCTTCTCGAACAGACCCACTGCCCACTGAGCAAGGGAAACCAAATTTGAGTATTTCCAGAAATAAGCCCAGGAGACCAGGGCCAACACCACCCTTCACTGCACTTCCCAAGCCTAGATGAATATGGAAAACAAGGGAGAAAAGCAACGAATATTCAAACCAGATGTTAACATTCAGGCTGACTTGGAAATGCCTGTGAACCATTCAAGGCTCCTCCAGCAGCATTTTGCTTAATCTCAAAGTTATTTACAGGTTCAGTGTATAAATGACAGGAAGTGTGTCAACAGACAGGGTGATTTCAACCTTCCAGGGAGAGATGGGATTTTCCGTATTATCTCACTTTCAGTTTAGCTGTCCATCTTACATGAGCAACTACTAGACTGCTATCCCGTAAAAAGTGCTCACCATCTGTCCTGCTACAGAGATTCCCAGCTAGCTGGAAAGGAATAAACAAGTGTACCACAAAGCATACAGCTTGTACCAGTGTTTTATGAAACCAAAGTAAGAACAAGGAGGGAAGAAAATGCAAGAAAAGGCAAAGCCCTATTCAGACAAGGAGGTTAGAGACAGCTTCTCAAAGATGACAAAGGACGAGCCGGAGCAATGACTTCAGAAACAGGGGACTGGGTGTTTCAGGCAGAGGAATGAACAGGGCAAAGATTCTCAGGTGGGAAAGAGCTAGGCATGTTCAAGGATCTCAAAGGACACCAGTGCAGCTAAGATACAGGAGCTAAAGGGAAAGTGGCATGATAGGAAGTTGCTAGATAAAAGCAAAAGCCAGATCATACAGAAAGCCGCATCGGTCATGGTAAAAATTTGGGATTTTTTTTTTTTTTTTTTTTTTTTTTTTTTGGTAAAGGTGATGGAAAGCCACTGACAGGTTTTCATCAAGGGAATAACAATCTAACCCAATTGTAAATGTCACGTGGAGAATAGTTTAGGAGAAGGCAGAAGTAGAGGCAGAGAAAATAATCAGGAGGCTACTGGACTAGTCCAGGTGAGACAAGGTAGAGGCTTAACTCATGGTGGGAAGAGTGAAGGTGGGGTCCGGGTGGAGAGTTCCAAATTACAGCCAGCTGGTGTGCATAATGACAGGCTTGCAGATGTACGGAGAGTAAAAAGACAGCAAATTACTCTTTCATGATACAAAACACCAGTTTGGGGGGAGAGCTAAGAGTTCCATTCAGGATATGGTAAGTCTGAGAAACCCTGAGACAGAAATGTCAAGTACGTGGTTGAACATACTACCTAGGAAATCAGAGGGAAGGTTTGGGTTGGAGCTATAAATTGATGTCGTCTACCCCCAGATGTATTTAATGTCACAGTGAAATACAAGGTCACTTAGCGAGAGCATTC